TCAAAATGATGCTACCGGAAAAGTTTTGCATTGATAAATGGAATAGGTTGACAAGTCTAGATGGCTCATTCGATTGTTTTTGAGCCCGAGGTAATAATCAAAAGAGACAGGAGGGGACGTTTGTATGGCTGCAATGGAGGAGAAATCCAGACTGCAGCCAGAAAAACTAAGGCAAAAGCAATCGTCAAGCATATATTTAATGACCATAAGCGAGCTATGAGGCTCGACGAGGTCAAAGATGAGATACAATCATCTCACTTTTGACCATAAATAATGCCAACTGATGATCTGTGATGGTGGTATCTGTGCTACCACCATCCTTAAAGCTGTCACCCCAATTTCTACAGTGCTTAGGTTCCTCAGAAGAAAGTATGGGTATGAAGCTGAAAATGGAAGGAATTAATTGAAAAGCGCTACCACGAGTGGTGGCTGCCGATTGATTTGACTCAGTATGGATCGAGATCATTTGCACGCTGTAATGACGGTGTTAACCGATTAGACCCTCTGCCCTGACTAAAAAGATGGTTAATCGAACTTGTCAGCCACCATCGTGACAGCAGAAAATTAGGACCTGAAAATGCTCCCTGTAATTGACTTGTGCCTCCTAGCAAGCGCAAGTCATAAACGTGCGCTGAATGCGTCCCTACCCTTCGCACACATTGCCCGTCACTGATACCGATTAAATGGTATAGTGAGATCATTTCGGCGACAGCAATTATCAGGAGGCTGGCTGATGGTGATACTGCAACTGCGATCTATCGGTCCGGTCGGTCGATCGCTGGACCGGTCTGGGCTATTATAGGTCTACCATATGGCAATGATTTTATGTGGCTTGCAAGCCAGGGTGCAATCAGTGACCCGTCTGGCGACATTACTGTCAGGTGGGAGTTGAACTGTGATATTGCGCTGAAAACACCATAGTAAACTACCTTTGAGGAATGATGCACATTTACGTAAGCACCGCTCCATGAATATAGCAATATTTGTACGACTTTTTCGGAACCATGCATTGCATCATATATCGATCAGCAGTGAGGTCAGGTGGCCTTGAGTCATGGGAGGAGATCCATATAGCGATTCCTAGGTGGTGGGTCACGTAGCATGCAGGGTAGATGTAGATCAATACATAAAGTCTCTGATGATGGCCCACTTAACGCTGGTCATAGACATAAGTCGACATATAGACGCCCTGATGATGAACCACTTCAACCTGAGGATGAGGATGGGAAGATTACATTGCCCGTAATGAGGCCAGTGCACTGGCTTGCATGTCAGAAGATGCTTTTAAAGTGGGCGCGGGTAGAGCCCCCCTGACTTTAAGCCCACGACGGACGTAAAATACGATGACCTACTGTTCTTCCAGAGGCTTACCGGTAGGTCCTTTGCATATCCATTCTCGAATGCAGCGTAGGAAGTGAGAAGTCTATTTGCAGCGTGAATAGTCGATTGAGCTCTTTTGGAAGAGCAGTGAATATTGAGAAAATCAGCGTTAATATATCATATAAGTTCGAGCAAGTATCCCAAAAAATGCCTTTAAGTGGGATATTGAGTAACCGCAGATGGGGTAAACCTTGTAAATTACCCTCTAAACTACAGGTCACCCACTACCTAGGAAGGGATGAAAATAATAACTACATTAATGACGCTAAAATGTTGCGATTGCATGTAATTTCTAGAATGGCAAGACCCTCATTAATGATGCAATGGAAGAGGTACTTTATTTTTCCTACCAATTGACTTAAAAAATATTTACTTACAGAGATGCTTACCTAAGTGTGACCAGCTGCGTGACTAATTATTAATCAGAAATTAATCGAATGCTGATAATTCGTGAGCTCGGCTACACCGCTTTTAGCATTACCTGATCTCCCGACTTAATAACTTAGTGGAGTTTAAAATTAATGATTTTTAGTAATTTACTCAAGCTTATCAGCTGAAACACCACCATAAAGAGATGCATTCCTGCCTGGATTAAAGTTCAAACTGTCGTTCCTACCAAGTGGAGCCCCTTTGGACAAAATCAAGGTGTTAGCTAACTTGACAGAGAACCTACTTTCCCAACAAGAAAATACACAAAAACACAGTACAAGAGCCAATAACCTATCAGATAACTAATTAAAAAGGCCATTGCGCAAAAAACAGACAGCTTAGGGAAACTAATCACGTTGCAACTACACACAATCTGCAGTGAAATAAAGAAATAAAAAAGCCGTGATATTTAAATTTGCAAATTACATAAAAATATGTCATTACAACGGCCAAATAGTACAAAATAAGCAAGTTCTTGCACATATACCCATATACATTATAATCTTTATTAAATGCATATGTGTTTGTATAATTAATGACAAACAAGCATCAAATAAATCAAAGTCTTAGTTATTACAGCCTTGTATGTCACTATTACCATTCTATCGTACGATGACTCCTCTTTAGTCATCATCGTTAGTCACTATGCTAATATTACTTTTCAAGGCCATCGTCTGTTTGCACGATACACATGTCGATTTCCTCAACTCCGGTGATGCTACTATGATATCATTACCGAATGAGTGATCAACTTTTCAAAGTCGAGTATCCTTTCGATGACAATGGGCTGTTTACAGGTCTGCGCACCCCCTACCAGTTGCTTCAGTATTTATGGTAGAATATGCCAGAGGTATCAAAACTTTAGCATTGCTGCAGAGAAGCATTGAAAATGTATTTGAAGTCAAAAGCAATTTTGAGTATAATGATAATTCTTTTTTAGTTTTTGCACTTGTTGATGTTTTGTGGTACTTTCTTATGTTGTGAAGACTAAAATCGGTCATTTTTACCTGAAAGTGAGGAAGCCACTGAGCACGCGGATCTCGCATGCATTAATAGACAACGAAAAACTTCGATGACAACTAACTTGCTAAGCCTCTCTTTTTCCATATCATACAGAATTCCGTGTACCGCGCACCCCACACTGCTTTCTAAACGACTTATGGTAACGGCTGGTTTTTGTATTTCTGCATCAAGTTAATAAACGTATCGTTGGCTGTCCTAACCCATTCACTACCAACACTACTTCACACATAATCAAGCATCAGTTCAAACCCAGACGCTCGTGTTTATGTGTTTGTATGTTATACTGCAGTTGTAATTGTTGAGAATGGGTCATTCACGTAGTGATACTTTAAAAAACAATCAAGGGGGAGGCATTCCTACTTAGAACCTTTTAAAATGATTTCGAAATGTCTAAGAAAGATTACTTCTTTAAAGGACTGCGCAAGATCATAAAACACTTCTCCAAAATGGACAGGCGATCGGGTAGAAAGCGAGATTATGCTTTCTCGTAAGAGTAAATGTTGTGTGGTTGCATCTCTTTAATACTTTATCACAGATCCGAGATGTGATTGCATTTAAAAAATATGACATTTCAAAAAGCACTTTTCTTGATAGCTAATTTGATTTACTAGAGATCAAAAGAATTTCCCTAGTTGTCTACTTCTCGATTGTCACAAAGCTTACCTCTCTTAGGCCCATTTTAGAGCGATATGGTGCCCCAAGGCTTCCCTGAGGATGAAAGAATACATCATATTCTGACAGAATATGTACCATCTACATGCAGTAAAGCTTGGGTCTACTGCCATGGCCTGGGGGCCAGGCTGTCCAGAGGAGGTGCAATAGCGAAGCTCCTAGGCGATCCTTCACCAAAATAGAGGATTACGCAAGCGCTTAATGGATTTCAGTAACTTGTTCGCTATCTCCGCTACGAGATGTGCAATTTTCTGCTAGTAACTTAGATATCTCGATGTGTTTTTTTGCATTGCAGAATAAAAAGGTCAACATTCACAAAATCAGTGGACTGCCAATGTGGGGAACTAATGTAAAGGCATAATGAGTTTTTCTAAAGTTTTTAGGTCCTAATTTCGTATTCTGAGACGTCAATGAAGAAAAGAAACGGGTTTTCACATTTTGTAAGGTGAATCGTTTATTCCCAATCTAGTCATCTTTGTAGGCTTCCTAGGAGCACTAAGGCTTTTAACTGAAACTGTTGAGTGAGGAATCATTCGAGAGTCTTTGAGGCCATTTATTCTAATTTCTGTTTTTTTCTACCTTACTGACGTGTTGGTCAAAATTAGTCTTGTCTGTAAAGTGCTATTTGTTGTGCTTTGTAAGGTACAGATGTTGTCTATCCAAAATTGACATTGGTTTTTTGTGCTTGAAGTGGTATGTAGCTTCGAGCGTCAATTTTGAGTCCAACATTTCCTAACGGTGTTTGTGCTGACCTGCGCACGTATACATCGGCTATTGCCATTCTTGATACTTGTTACCGTATACGGTATCGCCACGTTAGGAGTCTTTCTTCATACAAACCCCATTGTCAGGATGAGAAGACGCGGAGACGGCCAGACCTTGAGGCTCGCTTGGTCATAACCACGTGGTCTCAACTGGGGACACTGGTGCTCCTACCCCACATGGAGCTTCCGCTGCACGAGGTGGACTCAGCTGGAGGTGATTTACCTACTATCACCATCACTTTCCCTCTGTTGCAGCAGCGGCGGATTTGTTTTTAGTTGCCAGTCACGGTCTCACGCAACCATTAAACCATCAATTTGAGCTCGGATATTATGGTTGCATCCCACTCTCCTTTACTACGTGTATATTTATCAACCGGATGTAGACCAGCCTACTTTTACTTGAACTCACATTCTATTTTTGCGCTCAGCCGAGCACTTGCAAATATGAATATGATTTTTGAATGGTGCAAAGTCGAGTCCTTATTGCTACAATTTAAAAATCAAGGCACTTCATTTAAGGAGAGTTAAGAAGGATAGGGAAGGCTACCTAAAATTAGTAAGATATAAGATAAGAATAATCACCCGTAATTGGTGTGCAATTTATGCTCAAACTTTCTTCCGGGCTGCTATACGTAGTGTACGCGTTTCAAGTGTAAATGCACTTAATTTGTCTCTTGGGACCAGGTTCTATTGGCATAGCTGCCGTAACTCGGCAGATCAAACATCTTAGCAACGCTTCACGATTAAAATACTGGTCTCAATTCAGCCTTTTCCAGTCACTAGGTAACTCTTCTGACAATTCGTCACTTTAAGATAACGCCTCAACTGATGTCATCTATAAGCATATCAGTGAGGGTAGAAGCAGATTAATTGATTTAAGAGCCTCTGGAGTGAGTCGCTATATTAGACTTCATTAGTTTATGCATATGGAAGAGTTAGCATCATTGAAATTGTTACGAAAAGGTGAAGAGAGGGTTTGTACATACTTGAAGCCCTTACACGCTCTCCACATAGCTCTAGTAACCCATTTGTTCAAAAGGTCAGTATGGGTTACGTTAATGCAGTAGTAAATCTGATCCTGCCCTCATGCTATGCTGTAAAGCTGGATTTTACGTTAAACTTACTTAGGAAGAAGTATTTTAAACTCCAAATGGAATATAGCATACTTTAATTCCCATTCAAGAAATTATTGCTATGCCCTGTAAAGTAACAAATCAACAAAGAAGAACCGCCGCTCAAATGGTTCAATAATAACGAAGGCGCAAAATACTGCCAATTTTCTGCCTAGTAAAGTAATGTGAACATTCTTGTTATGAATGCAAGTGGAATTTTTGAGTCAAACGCGTAATAAAATGTCCAGAGGAAAATTTTAGTACCGATTTGGGCCACAAATTTCTTGTTTCTACTAAGCCAGAGTATGCAACAAAGGTTGTTAATCGTTAAATAGTGGCCGTATCACAAAGTATTACCAAAATATAGCCAGAAAGATCTTATTTCCTGTCGCGCCTTATTGCTTCATCCCACAGAGCTCTCCAAGGGATAAATGATTTGAGGTGAGAATTAGGGTGTGCGTCAAATTTGGAACAGATTTATCCGCTCTTTAAAACTAAAGGCACCTTAATTGCATTCTCTAGGGGCCTGGATTAAGCGTGCTTTAATGGTTCAAAACACACAGTTTTTATGAGCCAGGAGAGGAAATTAATCTGCAGCTATCTTGGCAGACACGAGTTGGGCCACCAGTTGCATCGATTGGGCATTTCAAAAGGCATTGTTTGACAAAATTCGCCCAAAGTGATGCCGTGTGGTAAGTCATTTTCTTCAGTTATTCATGCTTGAAAAGATGTTTTGCATTATGTACTATGCGTAAATGAATAATTATATTTCCTGCTTGGTAAAATTACAAGCGTATGAGAAGTTTATTTTGTAGGCAGCCATTAATATGAAGTCGACTTAGACAAATTTATTCTCTGCGTAAATCAGCGGACCAGTGTCATGTTTTTCCAGATATATTACTAACGAATTAAGCCCATATTAGTGGTGTAGATGCTACTGCCAAATAATCGCCACTAGACCAGTTTCTGGATTAGTGCAACTGCCAAATGTTAAAGCTTATTTCCTGTTTCTTGTAATAATTTTTGGGTAGTTGTTGCTGGGAGGAGCGGTATTCTGAAAATCGAAGATGTTGGATGCTGTTGGATAGGTTAGTTTCCAAAATAAAAAGCTAATAGCGATGTTTTGGCTAATTTAAGGTCACCGAAAAGTGCCACAACCCTTCTCACAACTTTGCAAACACAAGGGTCTGCCATGCGGTCAACTAATGCGAGATGACCTCTTAATTCCCGAATCGGTAATCAGGTGTCAATTGAAATAATTTACACCGATTTACGAGTCAAAATGAAAAAAATGTTATTAAGTTTGTAAACTAAACTCAATGATTTTTATATACCTTTATAAAACATGCGGCCAATTGAGGCTATGTTTAATTCCAGTTCCAGCCGGAGTAGTTCATTGTACGATCTGATACACACAATGCCAGAGGTATGAAACTAGAAAATAGTCCTTGTTAAACAGTTTTGTTGATCTTGCAGATATCTGCAACAAAGCAGCTTTTTTATGAAGCTCCCGATACGGACACAGAGCACAGACTTCCGAAAACTTTAACCACCCTAAGGTAGGAAAACTAAGTGCCAATTCGCCACCACAAACCTTTTTGATAAATAATGTGTATCTTATTAGGACTTCCTAAGCAAATCAAAAAATGGAATTTGAAATTTCTTTTTGAATACATAAGGGGTGGTACAATGATAATGAGTCATGCTTCAACTCGATAAAAATATAACACAATACGGCCTCGATACTTATATTAAAATTAAGTAGCTTACAAACGTACTTTCCCATAGCGGTGATCTGATGCTATTCACTCCGTCTGCTGTTCAACCAAAAGGCGACCAACCGGTGACGGCAAAAGAACTTTTGTATTTGACTGAGGGCTGGGTCAGTCTAAAAAAGGCAAGCATTAAAACGCATCCTTACCCTTTTTCGTGCGTAGGCTTTATCGTTTGGTTCGAAAAATTGGCTTTTGGATTCCTATCATTATCTAATTCCCGTATTAAGAAGGATTGGTTGAAAGTTTAGGGGGTATGGAGAAGACACGAGCTCCATAAAACAGATGCCGGCACTGCTGCATACATTGGCATGATGAAGCAAAACATGGAGTGAGTCTATCGACATTACGTTCCATCTGCATTTACATCAGATGACGTATAAGATAGCATTTATTGTTTGGGACAAATATTCGACTGCAGTATTTTTAGGTTTCCAGATCACTGGATGGCCGATGCTCGTGAGTTCATTCCGCCTGGAGCAATTCTTGAAAGTCTTAGTTTTTCAGAGTACATTTGTGGTAAAGGACATAAAACGTAAGTCGGTGGCGCTCTGCTGTTGGTCTAACATATTGCCATTGAACCAAATCGATCACGGGGGTTTTATTATTGCCAAAAGTCTTTTGCTTTGATCTTTAGTAAGAAGGAGTTCCTGCGTGATCGTGCTGAGGCAAGTTTTGCCATTTTGGTTGGATTTCATTTACGATTTCAATCCTTAATTATAAATAGAAGGTCTATTTGTTTTCCCAAAGGTAAGGGAACGCCTGAAGTACCCAACATGGATGAGTCCTTGTAGCGTAAGTTCTCTCTTATTAGAGTTATTTTTCGTAATGTATAAAAGGTATTTTTTCAAATCTATTTCGAAAACATTGTAGATACCCCCATTTCGTCCCTCAACACAATCATTTGAGGAACCTAAGATTCGGCCTCGTAAAGTAACGCTTAACTCAAGCACAGGTATACACAGAAAACCAAGGAAACAGAAATTGGTTTGGTAAGTTTAGAGGTTAAAAGTCAGATGCTGATCTAATATTAGATGATCCGTGATTCACTAAATGGCCACTTTAGGCAGATTCGATTGCCTGCACTAAGCTTGTTTAAGCATTCCTGGTGGGTTTTATGAAGCACTGAGTACCTTTATCATGTAATTTCTTCAGGTCTTGAAGCAAAATGCTTATTAAATGCTGCTGTTTACATTTTATAGGTAGCTACAATCCTACTATGCTATCTGTGAAGCAGCAAATTAACAGATAGAGGGAAAGTAGATAGGTGTTAGAGATACGACTAAGTCTGATGACTTACACAAAGAGAGGGGTTTTGTTTTAGGTCGAATAAAAATGCATCAAATCAAAATATCTGGAAAAATGGGATTTCAGGTAAAGTGGTCCCCAATTTCTCAAATTACGTGGAAAAGATTTTGCTACGTTAAGCAAAATCCAACCTTTTTATTTTTGGGAGTAGGAATAAAAAACGGACCTAGTTTTTAAAATATTATTAATAGTAGGCGAGAATAGTGGTACTCAGGGGTGATTGGTGTAATTTTTAAGTGAGAAAATTTCAAGATATTCGTAGTTCTTATTTGATCTGAGAGTAATATAACTTTAAAACTAAAACAACAAGCGTTTAACGTGGATTCAGTAAATAAAATACATGTGCGGCACCCTAAAGGCTTTTCTGAAGACGAAAGAAAACTTAATACTTGAAAGCAACATGCATTATCAACATATTAAAGAGATAGGAGCCACTGAAATGGACTGGAGGATCGACCGCCAGGCACAATTGCCAAGGCAGATCACCGTATATGGCCCTATCAAATAAATAGCGTATTACGCATATTTTTGAGTAGAAACTTAGCAGTCTTGAGCGTTTTTGCGAAGAATCATGCTCTTCTTGCTTATGTTGTATTTTTATGGTAGACTGTTTCTTGTATGATGTTCTTAAATGTCCTGCAAGTGACACAAAATCGCTCTTAAAATTCCGTTAAAAATAAAACGCTGCTTGATGAGTTAATTCCTGCTTGAATATTGATATTTAACTGAATATTTTTAGGAAGACCCGGGTCTCCAGTGGATTTTATTTCCACTTTGTATGTCCTTTATCTTTATTTATTTATGAATAGGAATAGTACAGTCCATTTTTAAGGAGTCAAAACATAATCTATTTGACCATGGCAGAAAATGAGCAGTTTTTTAGTTGTATTATGAGAATTTATGGCCCTTTTAAGAGAATTTGTAACCGGGTAGTTAATAACTAGCAAGCTTTTCACACAGTGACAAATAAATCACTTATTTGTGTAAATGATAACACAGTGCTTTTGCATTTTCGTTCTTTGATTTTGAAGACCTCCTCAAAAATTTCCTCGACTAAAACCTCCCCAGCTGCCATCAATTACGCTAAATGACAATGGAGGTATGAAAGTTTCCTGCAAAAAATTGTTTTGGCTCTTTTAAACCAATTGAAGAACTAACGAATTTTGCATTATAGATTAGAATTCCAGCACACCTTTTTCGCTACAGAGGCAAAAAGAGAGCTTGTTATACATCAATAATATGTTTTTTAATACCGGTTCAACATTCCCATATTTTCGACTTTTATGTCTATACGCTTCCAAGATGAGGAAAATGAGATGATTTCTTTGTCCCCGTAAAAGGTGAAGCTGCATTTACACAACCCCAGACCTGCACTCCCGAGGAAGCTACCAAGTCCGACTCTCAGGACAGCTCTCACTTTTCTCCACCTGATTCGTAGGTTATTTTGCTTTTTAAAAAAATTTCTTTTAGGGTAGGTGTTAACTCAAGAACCCATGAGTGTTCTATCGACGCGTAATCAAGTAAAGTGAACGTAAAGTCCCCCAGTGATTAAATAGGTCACATTTTAAGACTTACTGTAGATTTTAAAGTGGTAGCTGACAGTTTCCATTAAGTAATAGAAAACTCAAATTGTTTTTTGTGACATTTTGCATTAAAGCGTACAATATATCTTTGCTATTTACCCTTTGCCAGATAAAGAATTGCAAAATCTAATGATAGAATTAAAAAATGAAAACAAAATGCGGTATATTTTTTTCTTTGGGTGATGGATTGATAACACTATGCCCAAGATCGACCAGACAAAAGACTCTAGCTTGTAATAATTAGGTCCAAGTCAACACTTCGTACGCCTTCTGCGCTATGTCTACCGATTTCTAACGAAGTTGGGCAAAAGCCATCGCGCTTGCGGGAGCTGAATGTAATCCAAAGTCCGTCGGCTCTCTGTCATCATCAGGTCAACGACAATGCGATGACGAACATTGAGAGCTCATATAGAACCTCATTGAAGTTGCCATTATCCAGCTCAAGACGTCGGTCGAGTAGACATCGACGACGACTAGGAGGAGGTGGTGGCCTAGGGGGATTTGAGACGAGATCGGCGTCCAATGCGGAAGCTATCCAGGGAGGTGTCCACATTGCTGGTGAGTGGGTTCCTATTTCAATGAAAGGCGACACTTCTGGCCATCTACTGTCAGATTGTAGTTTAGTGCTTTGAAAATAAGAAGCTCTACATTGTACGATTAATCAAAATTTCTTATCCTAGATGTCTTTAAATGCATTATCATATATATGCATAAAAAAGTCATCGATTCTATAATTTTCACGAGACTTAATGTGAAAATCAAAAAAGCTGTGATTTCTTTAAAGCGTTTTTTTGAAACCAAAGAGTGATTTGGAAATTTTGATGTTTGGGATTAACTTCAAATCAACTGACTTTGGCAAATGCAAACGTATATTAATAGAATTTAGCTACGGAGAGGGATTTCCTTCATATTTCCTTTATGGGACATTTTGAAAAGGCAAAAAAAATTGGGAACTTTTATCCGACACTACTTTCTCCTTTTGATTCTTGCAAGTATTGTGTATCTTGCTCCAATTTACATATTTATTCTTCATTAAAAGAGGTTAAAGTCATATTTAGGTCTATCAAGTTAGTATTAGCAAAGAAACTTATATTTATGCTTAAAATCTCTTTTTAAAGGTTTAAGAGGCTCAACCAACTTGGAGTGAGTTCACTTTTTCTATTTGTTCATCTTATGGGAACCACTTTTCTTTTTAGATTACAGGTAGTAAACTTGGTAAAGTTGAAGAATGGATTACCTTATTTTTCTATATTTTATAAGTTTTTGTTTGAGTTTCGGGTAGAAGAGTACATCAACACCCTCCCTGAAACATTGTTTGCTTGATCAAATAGGACGCCTCGCCTAGGACACGGGGCAAAGCCAAGGTGAGCTCAGTCATAGGTGGAAATGGTTTTTGAATAAGTATCGCCATTTAAGAACTTGTTTCATGGCTATTAAAACCACTTTACAACTTTGTGAGTTACCTGAAACGAGGCAGTTTTATATGGAGAATCCTACATTTAGTTTCTGCAGTACATGCAGTGTTTCGTGGAAATAACTGGGACTTTCTTGTCTGAATTAGGGGGTCAAAGCATTAATAAATGCTAATAAACCACGGAAATATTACAATATCTCAAAATTTGTCGGCACTTTTTGCAAATACCGGTGTAAGAATACACCACATCATAGTTTTATACACATCAAAGTAACGTGGCATGTTCATTGGCAATTCAAACCAATCTCTTGAATTCGGGATTACAGAGCGTGAGCTGATCAACCTCTCCGAGGCTGTGAATGCATTTAAAGAACCTGCAAAAGTCTCGGGAAAAACATTAGCAAATAAAGTGGAAAAGTGGATATCATTCGTAAAGAAAAATCAGATTTTTCAACTCCCTTCACATACTTCATTTATTATTGGAGCATGGTGAGGAAGTTGGTACAGATTCACAGATGTAATTCAAATGGTGTGAAAAGCATGATTTCTGCTAAATTCTGCAAACTGCCGGTATTTTGAACTTGCATCCAAATTAGTAAACAAATGATTTAAGAAGATACTTGAAAATCTTTAGAGGCTTGACTTAGGAATGTATTGAAATAAAATATAAATTACTTAATTTCAAAATCGTAGTCTAATTTTATGCGAAAAAAATAAACCAATTTTTGCTATTAAAGTTTCTGGAGAACCATCTAAAGGCCATCAACGATCTAAAGTTGGAAGCCACCGCGACGTCACAACGAGTTCAAGCACGGCTGAAGAAGCTCTGCGAGGAGCGCATGGAAGAGTTCAAACGCAAGCAAGTACATAAATACAACATCCGATGGAAGGTATGGCATTGGGCGGCAGACATTGCGCACTTTAAAATTTTGATTTTAAGGAGTTTGATTCCCTTGGTCATTCCGAGTACTCTGGTAGATTCTTCAATGTCCATGTTACATCTGCAAATTGTGCACATTGGCGACTTTACACAATTTATGCAACTCGGCCGCCTGTTGACTTTGGATTTATTTATGAGAAACGGTAACGTTATGCGTATCGATGCACCATACGCCACTAAAATGGTCCTCGATTTCAGCTAGGTCAGCAAAGTGATTCTTTAAGTACTTACTTAAAAACCAGAATTATTCCGTACGTGAATATGAATAATCCGTGTTAAAGATTTACAGCCTAATCTTCCCCTAAGGTAAATTACGTGCAACTGAAACTCTAAAATAATCATTAAGCAATATTTCTGAATGTCGAGGTTTAGTCATGCACCAAATTAATAGTTTATAAATGCTAATAAAGCGCAATTCGCAATTTATAAATCACCTTTTTTGAAATATGTTGGCCACCATTGTTGCACGCTTCCATTTTACTCTCATTTGTACAAAATAGGCGGCCGAGTGGACCACATTCAAAATCGCATTCATATTTCCAGTTTTGAACTTTTAGCCATAGTGCTACTTTCCTAGGGTTCCATACAGACTTGTTCTCAAGTTGCAAATAAAGGAAGATAGATGTAGACTGTATCTCTCCATCTCACACCCAAGTTGACAAGCATGCGATCCCCTTTAAAACTTAAAGGTGGCTAGTTTGCAATTTTGCAAAATATAAAAAATGGGTTTTCGTAAAACGTGACATTCTTTTGAATGAACATTCCCAATCCAGAGGTTTTCGTTTTTTGTATAAATGAACGAATATTTGTCAGATTTGCTGTGTAGCTCCCTGAGACCTTCCTGAAGAAGAATGCAGGTATAATATTCGGGCCCATTATGTATTCCCGACGTACAATAGGACTTGAGGCTACTGGCATGGCTCAGAGGCCAGGTCAACCGGAGGATGCACATTTTCGAAGCCCCTAAATGTCCCTCTACCAAAACCGAAATCTAAATACACAATTAGTTTTCCAGCTTCATTAGGCATAAGTTATTAACAACAAGCCTGCATTTTTAGTAGCCTTAAATAGCTCAGAATTTATAGAATATAAACGAATTTTCAGCCATTCTGCTCACGCTTTTTGTAGTGAACAATAAATCATTAAGTCTTATAAAAGTAGGTATCTATAGACAAGAATTGCATGAAGTCCGTTATAAGCATGTACACTTATTTCCCTTGCATCTATGGCGCTCTCGTTTTACCTGCATTCGCAAGTAGATAGAGCAGTGTAGAGGAGCATACAAGTAAGTGGAATAGGAAGAAATTGGGAGACCGCTTGCACGCACCATGGGCCATGTGGCATAGTAATTTTAAATGTCCGCGCAGATAAGCAGCCAGTATAACAGCGTTAGGGACCGGATTCAATGTTCCCTATACTTAGTTGGATTTACCAACGGGGTTTGTTTCGCCCTCCTTCTACCAATTATCAACCAATAAATTTGCAAATTCTGGAAAGGTTGTTTTTTATGAACTAAGACTTCAAAAAGCAGTTATTATTCAAGCCATGGTCCTTACAATCAAGTCAATAAGACAGAGTGAAGGAGATCTCATGCTTACCTCCATCCGTAGTTGCACTTTTTAGTTATTCACAAAATCGGAAATGGTTGAATTTGTTTGCTGAAAATCTATTAAATTGCTCTGAGCGCGCCTTGTAAACCTAAAAATTGACATCTTGTTTCCATCTTTTGAGTGTTATAAATAGTAAAAAACTATGCGCAGGTGTAAAAAGCTAATGTCTGAATTCACAAAATTGCACGAGTGCAATTTTTTAGTCCTTTGGAGCTTTCCCGTTTGGAATCGTTTAATTAATTGCTGATTTTTCAGTTGCGACTACGTCAACTGGAGAACTTTCATTCTTTTCGCCAACTCACCTCGAGTCGCCTATTTCCTGGACTTACTCGCGTCGTCTCTCGCTCTGCCTCCCCGCCTCTACCCATCCAACCGCCCTCTCCGCCATCCTTGCCACCGACACCACCAATATCGCCTTTACTGGGTGTCCGACAATCTGTGCGCTCGCGATCCCTATCGCCCCAACGCTTCATTCCGTCCCGAAAAAGGGGGTTGCCGCGCTCATTCGTGATGGACATAAAGAATGTTCATCTTAGGCAACGTCCACTGAAGCGCTGCTGGCGCGTTAATGCTGAAGAACTGTTAACAGTGATTGGAGCGTCACTGCAGTTATCCAAAAGAGAGTTGGAAACGCTTGTAAAGTGGGAGAAAAAGGAACGCGAGAGGTATGTGTTCGGCTCCGAGTCGTTTTAATAATACTACTAGAGATTTTTAGAGAGCTCATCCAATGGCCTTGAAGCTAAATGGACACATATATTTTGAAATTGGGGATAAAGCAACTAGTAACTTTAAACGATGCAAATGCCCAGAGGTGGAACAATATTAATTAGGTGACTACAGAGAATGAGAATATGGCTGTGGATGCGGCATTGCCTCCCTTCCCCATTCTTATTAATTGATGAGTTCTCTGAAACGTTGTATGAGGCCTTTCGTTGTATTGTTAGATTGGCACATTCTCCTCAACTGATTTGCTGTTTCCCAATACTTCTAGGGCAATCTCCATTTGATTTTATCGAATTATACTGACCTCTATTGAGTGTAAAGGTATCAGTTCTAATAGCCATGCGGTCTTCAGTAAGTGCACAACTCACAAAGGGCACGGCCTGTTGGTTTTGACATCACAGGGGTTAGAAATACCTAGTGAGCGTATCTGAATTACATATTGCCCCAGGAGGGGAACCCGATATAAGTACGCTACTGTTTTCCACCTCAGGTTTAGGAAGGTGATGACCTTCCGGTTGTTGCTGGAGGAGGAGGCTCAAAATCAGACGGTGAAACCCATTCACGAGTTGCTCAATATATTAACTAAGCAAGCCAATGATATTTCACAGAAATTACAATTCCTCAACAACACCAAGCGCAACCTCTTTGCCTGCGGTGATGCGTAAGTTGCAAAAACCACGCCGTACATGTATCAAATCTGCAGTTGGCTTTGTATTTTCCCACACTTTCCCAGATACACTGTTAAAAACCTATGCTCGTTGAGATGAATCCACACAATATGGCACTATGCTTAGAAAGCGTAAAAACCATGAGTTTTAGAGATATTGTCATCAAGTTCAAAGCCACTTGGCTCACTTGAAAGACCTACAATCAAACTAGTAGGCCGTTAGTACCTCACTATCGGCGCTAAACTGCGACTGTTTCGAGAAGGATGTAAGCCCTCCCTAGAATTTCATATTTTGCCCAGCTTAACTTCCCTGTGAAAGATGGAAAACCGACAATGTACTATGCACCATTCAATTTAAGTGGAGACCTGATCAGCTAGAAGCTCGTCAGTTCCTCGATCGATTTTGCTAATCAACACTTGTTTAATGAAGCAGAAACGTGCCTCTTCTTCATTTTCTTTTCGTGAAGATCAAGATATTTAGTTTGCCTACTCAATTTAAGTAATTAGATATTATTAGAGTGCTCTTAAATGCTATTAACTTTTTGTTCTTTGTTGTTCCACTTGGTCTCAGTTGAGCTCACATCTATCTCACACGTGGCACGTGGCGCATTTCCGACTGACGTAGCATTAGCTGCCAGGACGTCTCCTAATATCTGGGGATAGAAAGAATCTTCCAACTTCTTCCATTCTTTGCCCCAAACGAGACTTAAGCCTTATTCTGTCAGTACTACATGCTACATGTTAAAGTGATACATAGTCTCCAGGGTATTTCTCTACTCTACTGCCAATGCATGCCAGACCTCACTAGTCACCCCAGTCCTAGGGCAGGCTTATTATCACAATAGCGGAAAGCTAGGCTATCAGCAAAAGGCGTGGCTGCCGGATCTAGAGGGACTATAATAATCAGTAAGGTCATTAAAAAAAAATATCCTCTGTGTTCACTTTTCCCGCAATAGAACCTTCAAATTTGGCGCAGGTAGCAGCAGCATTGGCAGCAGCCTTGAACACCTTGAACTCCTAATGGCAGCCAGTAGCAATGGCAGACGCAGCAGCAGCATCAGCTACCTTCCGCGCTTCCACACTCTCAATTCCTCCAGAATTGGTCTTTGTCGTCACCACCGTTTTTGTGAAGGATCTCCTCAGAATCCGGACCCTACTTACGCCACCCCGCGTGACAACCGCTGGCATAGAGATGAGACAACTACGCCCCTAAATCAACGATCTCTAGGATCATTGGCTAGGGAGTTAAAACGACTAGATTCTCGAGCTTTTGAAAGGTTTTTCGGCTGTTTAGACCACCACAGAACACTTCTGGGTGGTCGGAATGCTACATTGCCCAAAGGGATGATCAGGGCTGCTGATTGGAGGCAGGAGATGCTAGGATTGGAGTTATGGACTAGTCGATTGTCTACAAATAGCGATTTCTCCTACTTTGAGCTCTCTCCACTTGTGGGAAGGCAAAAAAGATGGGAGGAGCTGGAGGATATGCAAAAAGGCGCGGAAGGGAAGGACATCGAGGAGGGTGAAACGATATCGGAGAGCGAATCTGACTACTGTAATTAAGGTAAAAAAGGAAGAAAAGTAATGTCTTGACAAAAAGAGAAAAAAAATCGACTTAGCCTTCCATTTGGCTTCTAAGATGACATGATAAAAAGGAGATAAATTAGGATGAAAAACTCAAAACGGTTTAGGAAATATAAAGGTAAAAAAAAGTAAATTTCATCAAAATGGTAGAAATTAAACTTGGAACAGGATAGGAAAAAGCGATAGAGAAAAAAGACAGAAGTAGGGATAGGGGTTTGGGAAAGGGGCAGGGTTGGATAGGGGTTAGATTGGGAGAGGATTAAGGTTAGGGCTAGGTGGTGCCGGTTGGTGGGTTGGTTAGTTTGCAGTGCTGCTGCTGCTGCTGCAGGCGGCCTGCGAAGTAACCGGTTGGCACATGATAGGGTGACACCATCAGGCGTGGTAAGGCAAACGAACTCAAAGATGTCGGCAAGAGTTCCGGGGAGAGTTTCTTTTCTTTGTAAGGGCGGTTATTACCCCTGGAATCGGGTATCACCTCCGTAAAGCACCTACCCTCTTGTGGGCCCCTGAAAATCCGAGGGAGGCAGTGTTATTTTCGTGGCAGGCCGTACCCACATCCCCATCAGGTCTCCAAGGTGAAGAGCCTCTGGCACTAGAATAATGTAGGTAAGAAAAGTCGTCATGCCTGATCCTCAACCTCGGAAAAAGGATTGGCTCTGAGGGCTGAGTCAAACAGGCTGGGGAAAGAAACGAGCTCGCTCAGCTTGCAACTGGCTAGTGGGATGGCTGATTGGCTGGCTGTTGAATCACCACCGCTATCGCCGCCGATGCTGATATTCAGTCAACAGAGCCTGAGTTTGTCGTATAATGCACCGCCTTACGATACCGAGAAGGTGGAATTTGATATGTTAGGTAAATTCCAGCAATTAAAACCTCTCAGAGCCACTCGTCCCCGACACTTTGTTCAGCCTCAGTCACGCCCACGGCTGTGCCACGCAGAATGCCTGTTGCGAACCTGTTTGGAAACTCCGCTGCAGCCCCAGAGGATCAACGGTGACGAAGTGTGCAAGATTAAAGTACTTCAAAAGATCGCTATGAATAGAGGTCCTCGAGAGAAGAACCCCTCTCGGGCAGTTTAGCTGGGTCACTGCTTCGGATGTCTGATTTCCTGATTTCTTCAAATTGGAACCACTAAAAACAAGCGAAGAATAACCCATTGCATGATCCTGCCTCACCACAAATAACTAAGCCATCAAAACCCTTGTGCAACTCCCCTACCTGCAGTCAAAACGTCTCCTAGATGATCAACATCGGAGTAGCTATCTTTGAGCCCCTCTACAGCATCACCACGGCTAACACAACTGTGTAAGAGATAGACTACCCGCCTAGACTTCGATCTGTTTCATCGTTAGTGTCAGGATCAGTAGCCGAAGGGTTTACTCTACCATGTAGCAACTTACACAATTCATTAGTCCAGTGTTCAAGCAAACTGCTTGGTGTGACAGCGACGGTCCTGTCGTTCTCTGGTCTTGCTCCCGGACTTTGTGGCTAAATCACAAAGAAATCGCGATCCACCCGATGTAAATACTTTCATCGCAGTGAATTCGACGAACACCCTAAATATTTATGCCTGAGTGGTAAAACAGAGTTTGATAATTATCAAATTTAAACATAAGGTGCTTTTGTCGAAATCCAGCAGCACTTTGTATGATTTTAAGTTAGTTGGCGCCTGAAAGCTATTGCTGCCAATTCTCTGACTCAACCTCAAACGACATCCTAAAATAATGACTTTGGCAAGATCCAAATGTAGTATCAATTTTTTTTAAAAAATGGAAAATGCCTGCTAAGTAGAATCTATATGCAGTATGATTTTTTTTAATATTCCCAAGTTTGTTGACATTTGTCGGCCTGCAGCGCTTCATTTGAGTTCTACCGTGTGTGCTTGAACTGTTCGCGAGTTCGCGCTTCTTAGCACTAACTCATACTTGCTGCTAATGCTAACGGTGAGTCGAGTTCATGTCCATTTCTTCAGATGTTTTTTTTGGGGAAAGTTTCTCTGGGGGCACGTCTTCTCACAGATGCAAAGCCCCACTTTTGGGCTTTAAGTTAGGATCTTGCCTGTGACCTATGGTTGTTTTGAGTCGGCGTGTTCATACGGTGCTCTTGTTATTTTTTTGGGGTACATTTACCTACCTAGTCTGACTTGTGTGACATGGTACGGCGTCTTCGTCGACTTTATAGTTGCTTTTCCTTAGACATGTGCATATAGTTTTTTCGTTAGTTCCGTCGGAAGAAAGCTACTTCTTGCGACTGTTGGCACAGCTGCTGTTTGCGTAGGCTTCAAACTAGGGCAAAATTTTAGTACGCAACTTCTAGCATAACTACTTACATATTGTAGTAGAATTTCTTGAAGAGTAGTGAAAGTAAATGGTTAAACTTGGGCTTGCTCGCCTCACTTTGTCCAAGTCAATTTGTCCTCTTTACCTTAGTGCTTTTTTCCACAACCATGTCAGGTTATTGGAGGTTTCACTTTTTTGTATTGCAGAAAATTATCCTTAACCGTAAGTAATAATATGAATGAGGTATTAGGGTAGTGAAAGCTCATATTTTAACCAATATCTAAGAAGCTATCTTTCATTCTTTAATATTTATGGGTGGGGCCTATAGTATCACAAGGGCATCAGTATTTGAGTGCCAGTTCGGTGGACTTTTTGCGTATGATGGTAGGGTCAATAAAAATTTGGTTTTCACCCTTTAAGCCCAATAAATGATATGCGAAGGGAGAAGAGTGGAGGTAGATCCAGTTGGAGTCCCAAGGAAATATATACAGGGTGGGTCGCAGCCACGTTCACTACTGCCGTCGTAGTGAACGTTATTGTAGGGAAAGGTGTTGCGTTTGACGTTTTAGTGAGTTTTTTTCTTACTCTTATTGCTCTTTTTCCACCAGAATGTTGTTTTGTCACTTAAACGCTTGTGCTGTAGTAACATTTTTATTTATGCCGAATTCCCACACTTGTCCACTCAGATTGAAAAATGGTTTGGTTAGATCACAATTCTGCTTATTCACCTAATTCGCTTCCATTGCAAACATCTATATAGGTCAGGGATAAACTACGCCCAACCTTCATATCTATTTCACTTTGCCTCAGGTTTACACCCTCCTGCAAACATTCCACCCTTCCCGTTATAGTACGCTGTTTTTTCTGCTCAGTCAAGTTCATCTGCTTCACCTGGTGGGAGATCTTACTGGCTCCTGTAGATCAGTGCCGAAGCCGTGTAACTCCAAATTGGGCAAGCAGAATGAGTTTTTGCTTGTTTTACAATGCCATCGGCATGGATTGAATAGCTGTTGTATTGCACCTCTTTTTCACAGCTTTACTTCATCTCCTTATTTGTTAGAGGACATTTTATCATGTGATGCGTATGAATTGGTAAATAATAGGTGGGAGTGCGTGTTTTAATTTGTTTGTCGGGCTTTGAAGGTTGGTTATTTTAAGTCGAACCATTGGCTCTGGTCGGAGAATGCATCAAATTATACCGTACCGAGACATCCCCGAAGACGGGAGTAGGCATGATACTGGGGTGCAATACAGATACATTCACCATATAGAAGGGCTTGCAGCTATTGGCCTGACCTAGAGGCCAGCCCACCCAGTGAAGACACAATGGGCAAGACACCAAGTGGACGTTTACCAAACCCGAGAGCCAAACAACCAACTTATTACCAATCTGTGTAGAATCCACCTACTTGTAGTTATTTGTAATACTTATATTGTTTTAATGTACTTTTCAGAGAGGAGGCAAGGTTGCAATGGGAATCTGGTGACAGAATCGGCGTTTCCCAATCCTGAGAAGGATTGCGGTTCCTCCCCACTCCAAACTTTCTACTTATTCTCCCGATCCACTTCCCTTTAAAAAATATGCTAAAATTAAACCAACCGGGTTGTTCTAGACGTACTGAGAAGAGAAGGGAGGAGACCTGCAGGTCTCGCTCTACATTGGTGGCAGCGTTGGCGGGCCTACCTCCCTTCGCAGAAGACATGAATTCCGAAGACTGGCTCATAACTACCAAATTTGATCTCCATCTCTATCCCCAGTGTCAAAGAATACCCCTGATTGTACGCGCTCTTGCTCATGATTTATTTGTGGCCGCAGTCGGAGCCGGCATCACCCACGACACCGACATTGACCAATGCTGCGATACATTGACCCAACACATCATCGATCGAGAAGAGCAAACCCTTGTCAGGGACTTATTTCTGCTTTTCCAAAAAGCCGACGAGGATGACGAAGTGTACGCCAAGAACCTTCAACTTCTGGCAAAACGCGTTTTCCATGGCTGTCTTCCAAACAAGGTCGCCAACTGGACAACGGTCCAGTTTAGACACGGAGTTTGACCTCCCACCTTGGCTGAGAAGCTCTGTAACGCAAAGACCGACTCGCTCGGCCAATTGGTCAAGCTAGCAACCAAGAAGCAGCAAGAAGATCGGGCGCCCCTTATCGTCTAAAAGCTTCAAAACTGGTCAAATTCAAAATCCTTGCGTCGTGCCTCCCCGCGTTATACCCCTAGACCAGGTGGGCCCTCCTTTTCCCCTTCCTGTCTGCTCCCAAATGGCTCCCATTCTTATATACGGGTTTCAGGTAAACTTGAAGGACGTTCCTGTAGTTTTCTTCTCGACTCCGGTGCAGCTAAGTCAATTGTGAATCTCCAAGTCTTCCTTGCCCTTTGTAACAGGGTTAAGATCCTCTCCCCTTTTACAAAATTGCTCTCAGCAGAAGGAAGGGAGATGCTAGTTAAAGGAAAGACATCATTAGAAGTCTGCATAGGGAAGGGAACCTGGACAGTGAAATTCAATGTGTGTTCAGAACATGCCTGGGACGTGCTACTTGATGCCGATTTCCTACACTACACCAAAATCGTCCTAAATTTTGCAGAAGGAACCTTTTCCACTCATCGAGCCACCATGGCTAACGAAGATACCGAAAGATGACGCAGATGACATCTGCAACGCCCTTTTTGAAGCTGCAGCCATTCCCA